CATAGTATGCATATTATTAGGTGACGGATATTGCCACGCCATATTCGCCATCGAACCCGCTCCTAATTGCTGAGGTTGTTGAAATGGCTGCGGCTTCTTCTGAGACGCTAAAATCTCCCCTTCCGACATACTCGTTAAAAAAAAATATCTCGAAACAATTTCTTGACAAAATCTAACCACACGTATCACTTCTAATAGGAAATATTGATTATTTCGTTAAAACTACGAATATTTTCAATAAATAAATTATTATAAAACGTACGAGCTTCACGAAACACTACGTAATACGACCCATATTTCCTTTCACAATGTATCATCAAACCGGAAACCTAAAGAATATTACTCATTGAACTAGTGGGAACTAACGCGCAGCAATGCTGCCAACCTAATCTGTATACTTAAATGTTTAGTAATAATATAAGAAATTCGACTTTATTTTCTTTGATATATATATATATGTATATACACATATATATATTTCGTTATTAAAATTAAAAGACGTTCTTATTTATTACATATGTATTTATATATAATTAAAATTAAAACAAAATTTATTTATGATTTTTATTTATGTTAATATCTGATTAATATTTTGGGGGAAAAAAAAAAGATAAAGAAAGATACATATCGATTTGCGTAGATGAGTCAATATTTTGTCAGTTGCTACCCCTGATCTGATCAATTTGAAGTTATACGCAAAAAACATGTTATACGGTGTTATAGACGTTAAAAACTGTTTAAATTTTTTTATTACATAGTTTGTAGAGTTTCTAAAAATTTGAATTAGATATTTTTATAAAATTATTTAAAAATGGGGGATTTTCATTCTCCTATGTCTCATATTTCTCCTAACGCAAGGTATTTCAATTTTAATGTATTCAATTTCAATATTACATTTCGTTATTTTAATTTTTAGATAGTTAAATGAAAAAATATTAACGGATTAATAATTTTTAAATAATTTATTTATAGAATATTAACACCTAAGCCACAAGTTCAACAAACTCTTCATTTAAAACAAATCCAAAATAAAGCAAGAAAAAATATCACATGGTTTTTCATAAATAGTATACTTCTCGGCATCGTTATCTCAGATATGTAAGATTTAATTTTAATATATAAATAATATGCAATTTATATATAATTATAAATTATTACGTAATTCATATATTATTTAAATTATAGATTATATGGAGGTACAGCTTATAAACCATTTTTTTGGATTGAATGGTGCTTAGCATCAATATTTGCTTTAAATGCACTTTACCATATAATACAGTATGTTTGGACAAATTTTCATATGCAACCAATTGTACTAAGTCCACGACAAAAACTTTTATTAGGGATATCAAACGATGATCCACTTTTCAAAAGTGAAACTACTTCACAGAAAGCATCAGAATTAAGTACGCCTTTGAATTTATCTTGTATAAGTCTTAATAGACGTATGACACCACTTGGATCCTCATTAAGTGAAAGCAGTAAGTAAAAAAATTTAAATCGTCTAACAAATATATTGTAATGTTTGTTAATGATATATTATTGTCACAAATACATCTTTATTTGCCATATAGAACAAAAACTATGTGTATAATTATATTTTGTTGAAGAGGATTATTCAATGAATACATTTGGTAAATATGGCAATCTATCATCTCCAAAATTGAAGCTTAGTCCTGATGGATCGATCAACAAATCATTGAACTCTTCTATGAATAGTACATTTACAAGTGAAAATTTCATTCAAAGCGAAGCTGAATTACAAAAATATTTAAAAGAAGCATCCGTGCAAAGGAAAACCATACTTTCGACAAATATTGATCAACCATCCAACTTGTTGAGTTCATTTTGGACGCATCCTGCTATAAGAAGTCCCAACGAAGTTTCCCCTTCATTGAGAAGATGTGCTTATCAACTTGCTCCTACTATGTTATCTTTTAACATGGGTAAAGTAAGCCGTAATATATCTGTAAAATAAATTATGATTGTTACAATTAATATTAATTTTTATTTAGATAAATCAAAATCTACAAGTCCCGGTGCAGAAGAAGGAAATTCACCAAGAGGTACTTTTGGTATTCCAGACGTTTGGAGAAAATATAGAATCGATTCAAATAAAGTTAATGAATGGACTGCTAATCTCCGCATGGTAAATTTTTTTTTATATTATTATAATTAGATTAAAAGAAAAAATATGCTACATGTGTCTGTTTTCTGGAAATTATTTTAGTGGATTAGTAAAACTGTGGTCGAAAGAGTTGCTGTAGAGATTGATAACATATGTTCAGCTTTAATTCGTCATGGTTTGAGTGATTCTCAACCAGGACATATTGGTTTGGATAGATTGAGAAAATTGGCACAAGCACAATTTTTAGTGTCTACAATACCAACGCTTCCAACATTAGTACCTTTTTTAGAATTGTCCAATAATCAAGAATATCTAGTGAAAAGAATTAAAACACTTGCTAAAGGAGGTTCTATGAGCGAATTCAAATGGAATAGTGGAGGTTCGCATAATGGCAAGGAATGGGATTCCAGTTTACCAACTGATTCAGCTGTAAGAAATTATTGATTATTCCTTTGTAGAAGTAAGATTAATTTTTGTCAACAAAAAATTCAACATTTATATATAATTTACAGATAATAATGCATTTAACAGCAACTTATATGGACACACAATTAGAAGCTCCTTTAGATCAACCAGATGCACGTCCTTTTTCATCAAGATATATGGCTCGATCAGGCATGGATTTACCAAGAAATAAAGGTCCCATAATAATGTCTCAATCTGTAAATCCACCACATTATTGTCTAGCATTATCTGGTGACTCTTTGCCAACTGATTACGAAGAAATTCAACGGGTAAATATAATACTCCATATAAATATAAATAAATAAATATATATATATATATAATATTAATTTAATTTAATTTATATAATATTTATATTTTTTAGGGTCGAAATAATTTATTTCATACGCTTCTACTTTTTCTATACATTGTTAAAACTCGTGATCATGGTATGTTAGGACGTGTTAATTTAGGAGCATCAGGTATTAATATCTTGTGGGTTATTGATGGTTAAAATGTATGTGTCTGTGTGTGTGTGGAAAGAAGGAATTTCTACAATTTCACGTAACATAATTTATACAAACCAATTTAATCTTATCTCATTTTGATATCTTTCTATGAATAAAAAATTTTCAAGTATATATCAACATACATATACTAACAAACAATTAACTGATATTTTATAACGTATTTGTGTATAAATTCTTGTATATGGGTATGATGGATAGACAAATAGAGAGAGAGAGAAAGAGAGAGAGAGAAAGAGAGAGAGAGAACTACATTGAATGCTACGAACTCTTTATTCACATATACTTACCATTATGTACAAATAAAACAGAAATGACGATTTGTAATCAATAAAGATATTTCTGGATTATTATTAAATACATTAGTATGTACTATTTGTTTGTGTTTCTAATTAAACTGACGTCAATAGTGAAAGGACGTAATATACAGGGCTGAGTATTGTTTATTAAATGTATCTACTATTTTTTTTTTCTTTTATATATATATATATATATATATATATATATATATGTATATATATAAATGCATATATTTTTTTGTAAGTAAAGCTGAACAGTATTATAAATGCACTAATCATGTACCAAATTTTATAATTGTCTTTATCAAATTTCATATCTTTTATAGAGAGAAATTTTTTTTCTGATATCTTATATTTAATTTACTCTTTCTGTTAGGATAATAATTAAGAAAAATAATGGAATTATAATTTTTTTAATTATTTTTTTTTCTGTCTTTTTCTCTTTTCTTTTTTCTTTTTTTTTTTTTTTTTTTTTTTTTTTTTTTTTTTTTTTTTTTTTTTAAATTTCATATTATATTTATATGAAATAACGTTTGATGTACAAACTTTTGTAGAACATAAAAAATGATACGTATAACTTAATTCAGTGTGTAACAAATTATTATTATTAATATTATTATTATGAAATTACTCTATAATCAATATAAAACAATATGATTATTTTAAACAATTATTTAACTTCGACATGAAAAAGTCGACGCATCTTCATAAAATAACACATATAATGAATTAAACATTTAAAGAATTATCTATTAAGTTAAATAACTTTATTTTTTATTTTTTTTTTTTTTTATTTATGCATTAAGTAACTTTTATAATAAATATCGTTTTTTTAACAGAAATATGAGATACATTTATAATAAATGAAAATATGAAACTGTGATCCTGTTTTGAAACTAGAATTAACTTGTCATTCACATAAAACATCAAGCAGATGAAACTACAACAAATAAAAGGAAAATTCATTTAATAACAATTTACTATGCATGTCTTTTAATTAAAAATATAATTCATATGTAATATATATGATAACAGATAGCACAATTAATTTTTATATTAATTCTTAGACACTTCTTCAATTAAAAATCATGTCATGCTTTTACAATCTATTTCTCTCTCTCAAGTTATATATACTCAGCCCTGTGATACATAATATTTTAATACAGTTATATTTCTCTTAAATCGCCGACTATGCAAGTTGTATAATTTGCACTTTCGTCTTGTAAAAATAAACTTTAGTATAACGTATTATACATAATTATAATTACAATCATATATCACCGCACCAAGTATGCATTAAAAATGGGCCTGTAAGGCTTACTTATTTAATACATGAAAACTTCATGTCTCTATGTATACAGTATACAAGATAGTCTTTTTCTTTGTTTTGAGATTAACAGCTTTGCTAGAAGACAGAACTAGTTAAATTATTTTACTGTTCTTCCTAATAGGAATGAAAAGAAGAGAAATATTATACGAGGAGAGCATCGAGCTCATATTTTCAATCCTTTTTTCATTCGTGCTATAAAATTAGAATGCATTCTAGCAAGATCGTACTTCATTAATTTCTTTTTACCTTTCTTCAATGACATTATTTAAATCTTTTGTTAGCATAATCTTTAGACATATTACGACGTTGTAAATATCTTTGTACCCTCGGGTAATATCACTTCATCACCTACATCTGCGAGAGTTACAGTGAGTGGTAGAATAAGTGGCATTAATATTTCTTGATGTTGCATTATTTGTTGTGTAGTTACTGGCTCAGCTTGTCTAGTAATAGTAATGGTCTTAATGTTTGGTGCTTTAACCACCTGTGCTTGAGTAAGAGTCTGTTGTATTCTCTGTGGTGGTTGTTGCGTTTGAACTTCAGTAAGGGTTTGAGTGCGATTCTGATTTTGCGAAAAGTTTTGTTTACATCGTTTACTATGGGCATAACGGCTACCATTGTTATTAAATCTACGATCACACGTTGGACATGCATATGGCCTTTGACCAGTATGAATAAAAACATGTTCTTTTAACGACTTTAATCGACGGAAATTTTTTGGGCAATATTTGCAATGATACTTAGCTTCACCGGTATGCGATGTTAAGTGATTAGCAAGAGTATCAGCTCGGGCAAATGCTCTAGAACAATACTGACATATATATGGTCTTTCCTGTGTATGCGTCCTCATATGCATTTTTAGATATGCATTTGTTGTAAAAGGTCTAGAACATACTTCACAAACATATGGCTTTATACCATTATGTGCTCTTAAATGTGCTATTAAAGTAGTCGATTGAGTGAAACTCTTAGAACAGATTTCACATAAAAATCTTTTTGAACTATCCGTTTCTTTGTTTTTCTTAAATGGCCTATCGTGTTTCGATAAGTGATTCGTAAGCTGTTCTTCTTTAATAAATCGTTTTGTGCATCTTGTACATTTATACGGTTTAATCATATTATGCTTAGCTACATGAATTTTTAAATGTTCTCTTCTATAGAATTTCTTTGGACATATGTCACATAAATATTTCTTACCTTCGTGTACTTGTATATGACGTAATAGACCTTTCCTAGATGTATAATGTTTGTTACATTCTGTACATTCAAGGCCTACTATATCTGTCCTTCTTTTTCTAACAATTTTCTCTCCTTGCTTTCTTTCTTCAGGACGTGGTTCAATATCTCTTAAATCTTCCTCTGTTAATATTCCTTCAGTTACATGTTTAGCTCTATGTTGTCGAAGCATTTCATTATTTTCAAAACTATCACCACAAATATTGCACTTCCTAACTTGATCAGGATTTTTTTCTGAGCATTTATCATAATGAGCTTTTAATTTATCCTTACGATAAAACTTGACATTACATATATCACATTCGAAATTTGGTTCCTCGTGAAGTAATTGATGTCGCAATAGAGACTTTTTCGTACTATATCTTTTTTTACATGTTGCACATTCGTGATTATCCATCGGCCAATCCAAACCACTTTCAAAATCTGAATTATCATCGTCATCGTCTTCGTCCTTTCCTAATTCCATACCACCACCTATCCTTTGTTGTTCCTTTTTTTCTGCTGGCTTTTTAAACTTGTCCAATCTATCCATTTTCTCTGCTTTTTCATCTTTTACATGTTGCTCCATATGCTTTGTCAGAGTTTGTTTCGAATTACATTTTTTATTACAAGTGGCGCATTCTAATTCCTTCCTATTATTAGTTTTCTTAAAAGAATTTTCTTGCTTACGATTATGACGAATGTCCATATCGATTATATCATTATTATCATCATCTTCGTCATAATCCTCTAAACCGTCTTCCGTTTTTATTTTATCAATAATCTTTTGTGCAGCTTTAGCTGCCACTCGTTTTATACGTTTATTAGGATCATATTCTTGTCCATGAACGAAAGTCTTATGATTGGTTGCTATTAGATGATTACGTAAAGTCAATTCGTTTCCAAATGTTTTATTGCATTGCGTACATTTATATGTCTTTATTCTTCCATGCTGTTCAGTATGCCTTCGTAAATGATCTTTTCTTGTAAATTGTTGACAACATACTTTACAACTGTATTTTGAACCCGTGTGTGTTTCAATGTGCCTCGAAGATTTTTTGTGAGAACACGTTGACGGACAGTGCGGACATTTGGACTCTTTTGTTTCTGCCCACTTTTCTTTATCTTGAACATCGTCAATATTATTCTCAATTTCTGAATCGTCTTCATTATCGCCTTTAATATCTAGTTCTTCATCGTCTTTGTTAATTATATGGTGTTCTATATCTTCTTCTAAATCTTGATCCATTAACATACCTTCTACTACATGTTTTGCACGATGATTTTTTAATTGCTCAACCTCGTCAAATTTTTCATTGCAGACATTACATTTTAAGTTAACGTGTGAAAGTGCGTGCTTTCTTAAACTTCGTCTCGTATAAAATTTTTCAGAACATTTATCACATTCAAACGTTTCCAAGTGAGATTTCTTTCTTTGTTTTTCTGTTTCGTGATCATCTTTCTCCTCCTCGTTCTCATTATATGCTTCCTCTTGCTTCGCCGTCTTTCTACATGCGTAATCCGAATATTGTGAATTATTATGGTTATCAAAACCTAAACTATGTTCGTCTTCGTGAAATGATATTTCAAGGGGCATGGAATCTTCTTTAGCATTTTCTTTTTCTTTTTCATGTTGCTTAAGATGTTTGCTGAATGAAATTATGTATAAATATTCTTTCCCACAATATGGACACTTGTTAGCCCTTTTCCCAGATGGTGGCATTTTTGGAGAAGTATTAGATACTTTTGATGATTTTTCAGGCACTTTTTTAAGAGACAAAGCTCGCCTAATTTCCTCATGTGAATGCATATGTTCTTTCAATACATTCTTAGAAAGAAATTGTTTGTCGCAAAGATAACACATAAAGTAAATCTTTTCTGATCTATCGGCTTGTGCTCTTTTAAGACGAGAACTAAGATTTAAATTTTCGAAATAATTTTCTTCGTCGGAATCTCTGTCACTTGTAAAATTTCGTCGCGATGATTTCCGTTTACTTTTTCTAATTTCAGTCAGAGACAGGTCTTTTTCAACAAGCGTGTCAATATTTGTAAGCGGCATATGTTCTGTATCCATTTTACAATCTTCAAGTATATTTGATTCCGTAAGCGGTTCATTGCATTGCGTTATATTCTCTTTAGATGGTTTAGATTCTTCAGAAGAAAATTGTTCATTCATAACATAATCCTGTTGCATAATATAATCATGTTCTTCTGCAGGAATCGCATCTGTACAGTTTTCATTAATGCCATCTGATTTTAATACTTCTTGATTTTCTGCATTATTCACCAACGTACAAGCATCTTCATCTATTTGATTAGTGTATTTTTCTTGATTATGAGAATTGTTCATTATACCTTGTTGCTCCAATATTTGTGAATTATTTTCTTCTGAATATATAAAAATGTATTTTAATATATTTTTAATTTCTTATATTTTATTTAAACTTTTTTATTAATACTATAATAGTTTTTTTTTCTTATGCGAAAACAAATATCATAGCAATGTATATTAACAGTTAACTTACCTTCTCTTAATTGTTCTCTTTCTACCAATTTTTCAACTTGTAACAATGCCAATTGTTCTTTCAAGAGAGATTTTTCATTTTCTGATCCCTCTGTCAATACTTCAGCAGCATGTTGGTAATGAGATTCTAAATGAATATCATTGATAGCTTCATTTCTATCTACCTCCAAATGTACTTCAACTTCGTTAAAAAATAATTCTTCTTTAATACCATCGAATCTTTCTCTTAATACATTGTCAGCTTGTTCGACTTGAAGTTTAAATTCATATGCAGATTCAAGTTTATCTGCACATTCGTTACAAACGCGAGGAGGTAAGCCATCTCCTGGTAACATCTGTATAAATGTACAAAAATCATGATATAGCTCGATTAAAGATAGCAATGAAATGAAAATGAATTCATTGTGAAAAAATGAATGTTATTGAATAGCAAAAGATCCATCATACGTGTCAGTCTCAGTCAGGATAGAAAACGATTCTATGAATAAAGCAAAACGAATAGAGTATAAAAAAAATATATATATATGTATAGCCGTATGTCCATATATACATATGTGTATATATATATATGTATATATGTATATATATATATATACATGTATATATACACATACACACAGAGACACATATATACATGTAATCATCTATAAATTTACTGTACTGATAAGATCGAAACTATAATAAAATGTATCACATGTATTTGTTTTTATCTTCTTACGTAGAATTTAACCTCTCAAAACTGTTGGTATCTAACCTTAACGTTCGCGAAACTCATCGCTTTAGCCGATAAAGAGGCGACCTCATTTCCCAGAAAGAGATCTCGCATCACCAGATTACCAAGAAGACATATACGACATATCTCCACGGTAGACACAATTTCTTGTTCACTTTGCGGTGGATCCGACGTACTTATTTCTACGGCGTCCATGTTTTGTTTAATGGACCAGGCTTATGCCCACTAACACTCCTGGCTCCACTCCACTAAACTCTCAATTCAACCCAACTTAACTCAACTCAACTTAACTTCCACTTGCCTTTCTCTTTCTCTACCTTTATCCTATTATTTCATACACCTCTTCAAGGTGGAGCAAGTGAACGCAAGGTAGTACACGATGATACATGATAATAGTGCTTCTTCGAAACCTTCGCGCTGTCTTCTCTTTATTTGCGCCGTTCTTTTAACGTTACTAATGCTGCCATCTAGAGAAAAATTATAGAACGACTTTAATAAAAACTACATTGATTTCAAACCATTTCAAACTAAGATTTCGGAATAACCACGTGTGCATAAACAACGACAAGCTTTCTCTTATTATTTTTTTTTATTTGTCGTTAACATTCCTTTTTTCAAATATAACACGTGTTAATTTAATTGTCGTTAAAATTTAAAAAAAACCAAAGTTCCGCTCGGAAGACACTGTGTTTTAATTGATGAAGGAAATAAAAAATATTATTCGTACGTCTATTCGTAGATATAATACAAATAATATTATCCTTATTCAGGATACGTGCGAAGACGATAGAGTTATTCGTGAAGCTTTACTCTTTGATAATCGATATTTGGATATAATAATATTTTTTTTTTATCGTCTTTAGGTAATGTTTATTCTAGATAAACGACGAGAAGACCATGTATGCTGGTGTATGCGCTGCTGCACCGGATCGATTTAGAATGCGCAAATCGTAGAGAACCTAATTTTCAAATAATCGGAAGTATGTGAATGATGTTTGTAAAAAAAATTTGAAATGATAAGAGTGTGCAATTTGCGGATTCTTTTAACATCCCAATATTAAGAATAAAGCTCGATTAAGTAAATGGATTATTAGAAGGAAGAATGCACGTTTCGTTTTGGTTTAATGAACATGCCGTCGGGGAGATATTAGGATTTCTCTGACAGGTGGGTTATATATGATGATCCTTTTAAATATGAAATTCTTTAATTAATTTGAATAATATACATTTTAATATATCTTATGTATATGCCAAATATAGAAACAAAAAATATTCCAATGCGATGTTTAATTTCTACTTGACAATTTACAAATTTTGTTCTGATAGAAATCTTAAAAATTATACACACTTTGTCATTTTTCAGAGCTTTAGTATAATTGAAAATGTGACAGAGTTTAATAATATCAATCCTTAGGCGATATTTCAACTAATACGAAAGAATTAGTAGCAATGAATCGTGAAATTTATCATCGATCAATTCTGTACAACGCTTATACTTGAAGAATTAATAATCAAAGGAGATTCATTAGGAAGATCCTGAGGAACATGTTCTTCTTATATACAGGGTGACTCACTTATACATGCCTATCGACAGAAAGTACTTATAAACGATTTAACCATTATTGAACTTATGTTAGAATAATTTATTTGTCACGCGTTTAAAGAATCGTATAATTGAATATTGTAATTATATAATGTTTTATAATTACAGTAATGTAACCAATGCTGGGAACAACCAACTAATATTATCTAATACAGTTGCAAGTGGTACAAACAGAAGTATTTTAGATTTATCAGAATTCAGTGATGCTGAACTGGCTGGTTATAGATTACGTTGCGGAGTTTGGATTACGTTTGTATTGGCGACAGGATTCGTCATAGCAGCAAAATTTTCTTTTGGCCATGAGGTAAAATATTCATTAAATATGTTCTATGCTATTATACAGAATATCCCAAAATAAGTAGGAAATGTTTTAGGGACGATTTCAGCAATACGTTTAAACAATCAAAAAAATTCATGTAAACATATGTCCTATTCGATTTGGTTTTCAAGTTATAGCGGATTTGATTTCCAACAAACTCTATCTGCTTACTTTCATAAGAGATGTTCATATATATATATATGAAATTTTTCAATTGCTTTCTTTTAAACAGGGCCCAGGTTTAGAAATATTCGTATTTTGTGGTCTATTGACGCTTCTGCTACTTGCATGTCTGTATTCCATTCTTTGTCGTCGTACTCACGAGAATAGTCGTCAAGAAAATCATATTCAGGAGAATCAGATTGCATCTTTAAATAATGCGAGTTTATCTACTACCGAAAATTTAAGACCTATACCAGTTATCAGACAACATCCGCCACCGCCATACCATATAGCTATTTTAATTCCACCGCCTGATTCTTCAGACGAAGCTGCTCCACCTTCATACGACAAAGTTATTCGATGAAAATATTAATATTGAATCAATAAGGATATATGTTATGAATCTTACTTAATTTTTAACATCTTTGCAATAGTTTCATGTCATAAAAAACAAAAAACAAAAAACAAAGTATGATAATATACAATTTGAATCCAAATATGTACTTTCTCTGCTATAAAACACATTCATATGAAGTTCTTACAGATAATAAACTATCTTATCTCTCTCCACATTAATAAAGAATAAATAATATCGATAATTGAATAAATTTCACATCTGTGATACAAATTCAGTGATGCAATGAAAATACCAAACTTGATTGATATCTAATGATACAAAAAAGATACATTAAAATTTTAGTGGAGATATTTCAATAAAAACTTAGATAAGATATAAAGAATATTCGCGATAGTTTGCATTTAATGTGAAAACAAAATAAATATGTATTTTAATTTTTTATATTTCAATATACAATGATCTGTAATATTTATATATATCATATATCATATATGTATATATATATATATATATATATATATATATACATACACATATACATATACAACTTACATCTAGTCTCTAAAAACAACGTAAAATAATAAATCTTAATTACAGAAATTGTCTCATTTGAATAATTGGACAAATTGTTCTACATTGTAAAATGATAAATAAAACTAATGTAAAATTCTGGAATATTAGATTTAGTTATTCCAAGAAAAGTGATTATTATAAGATTTTTTGACAAATAGTATAAAAGTTTGATTTATGGACAAATATTAAATGTAAGACCAAATAAAGTCTATTCATTCATTGTATTACCTTTCAATAAATTTACGATATGAAAAAGAAAAAAAAATAGTTTTACATAAAGATTTTATTTTTAATCTGTATTTTAATAAAATTTATTTAAATGCTATGCAAAATATAATGATTGCACATATGAACTACGTTTAGCCAAATCACTGAGAAAAAATTACATATATATACAATTTATATATATATATATATATATATATATATATATATATATAAATTATATATATATATATAAACTTTTATTTTAAATCTATAAACGAGAGTATGTTTGTGTGTGTGTGTGTGTGTGTATTAGAAAAAAAAATTTTATTTTATACCAATCAATATGAAAACGTGAAAAAAATTGTTTTTACTTCTTCGTTGACGCATCGACGAAGGTGTGTTCTCGATAATGACGAAACAGGATTGGCCTCTATTTTATGAAATATCAGTATAACATATGCAAATTCTAGAAAAACCTGTTTTAACATATCATCAATATAAATATCATTGAATATTGTTATAATAATCATTATCAACAAATTTAAATATTGTTATCATATGTTTCTTTGTTCCGACCAATCGCATACAGGTATTGAAATCGCAGACCGAACGCGCTCGTATTTAAGCGGATAACTTTGCGAAATTCAGACAATTTATTTAAAAGTGCAGAGACGAACTGCAACACGTTATTTAGTTTAAACAACGCGTTACAAATTACAAATATTGTAATTTTAAAATGGTAAAGAAATGTAAAATACTATAATGAATTTTTTTATATTATAATATTATAAAATATTTATATATAATATAATATTAATTTTATTTTTTTTTCTTTTTCTCTCTCTCTCTCTCTCTCTCTCTCTCTCTCTATATATATATATATATATATATATATATATATATATAGACTACTTACACGGACAAAGGTAAAAAGGTATGTAATATAATCTTTTCTAATCATACAAAGACTGATTTATTTATTTACTTTTTTTTGTAGCCCGTTGGAGGAAAATTTTTATGTTTTGACCATGTAAAATTCTGGGTTGGAAATGCAAAACAGGTAATATAAAAAAAAAAAAAAAAAAAAGAAAAGAAAAAAAAAGAAAAAAAGAATCTTATATCGTATCACACACGGATACACACTAATGTCTCTATATATAATTCTTTTCACTCAATTCTGTAAAAAAAAAAATAATGATTATTACAAAACAATTATATTACACCTTTCTTTTTCTTTTATAGGCGGCTAGCTTTTATTGCGCAAGGATGGGATTTGAACCGTTTGGATATCGTGGTTTAGAAACTGGCTCAAGACATGTAGCAGCACATGCTGTTAAACAGAATCAGGTTATTATATATATATATATATATATATATATATATATATATATATATAATATAAATATATGTATAATTTACAAAATTTCTTGACATTTTTTTCTTCGAATTTCTCAATATTTCGAATGAAAACAAAAAGTAATTTAAATAAAATTTTTTAATAAAAATACTTTTTTTTTCATGATGATATTTATCATACTTTTATTATTAAATAAATAAAAATAATAATACATTAAAAGAAATTATTTTTCCTAGATAATATTTGTTTTTGAATCAGCCTACGAGCCTGGAAATAAAGAAATGGGGAATCACCTTTCTCAGCACGGTGATGGTGTTCGAGACATTGCTTTCAAAGTCGAAGATATCGATACTATCGTTAGGGTAAATACAAATGACAAAATTGAATACAAAATTAGTTAACTAAAGAAGAAAAAAAATCGATTGAAGATATTATTAAATTGTTTTATAATTTGAAAAAAGAAAAAAAAGATAAAAAATAAAAATGTTTTTTATCTCCTTAGGTAGCAAAACAAAAGGGTGCAAAAATTATAAAAGACATATGGGAAGAAAAAGATGAGTTTGGTATTATTAGACTTGCCACGTTGCAAACGGTAAGTTATTTGAAAAAAAAAAAAATAAATAAATAAATAATTAAACACAATTATTACAATTATATATCTAATATATATACATAAATTTTTTTTAACTAGTATGGAGACACCCATCATACTTTGATTGACAAAAGTAAATACAAAGGATTTTTTCTACCTGGATTTGTAAAAGCCTCAGAAGACGTACTTATTAAGCATTTGTAAGTGTCATAATATTATACTTAAAAAATACACATTTTCTTATTAATATTTTTTCCTCAATGAAATTACAGGCCAGCAATTCATTTAAAATTTATAGATCACATTGTAGGAAATCAAGCTGATAAACAAATGGAGCCTGTAGCTAAATGGTAAATAAATTATATATTTTTAGGCATAATATATATATATATATATATATATATATATAGATATATTATATCATTTTTATTAAATTTTTGTATATTTTATTTTAGGTATGAAGAATGCTTACAGTTTCATAGATTTTGGTCAGTAGATGATACTCAATTACATACCCAATATTCTTCATTACGTTCTATCGTTATGACTAATTGGGAAGAAACTGTTAAAATACCAATTAATGAACCAGCATCTGGTAAGAAACGTTCTCAAATTCAAGAATATGTTGAATATTATGGCGATGCTGGTGTTCAGCATATAGCTTTGAATACTAATGACATAATTACAAGCGTAAGTAATATTTTATTACAGATTTATTATATTTATTCTTTTGCTTTTGATTATAATAATATAACTTTGTTGTTATTGTTATTCTAGATACAAAATTTACGAAAAAGAGGTATGGAATTTCTTGATGTTCCTGATAATTATTATGATATGCTGAAAGACCGTTTGAAAAGTAGTAAAGTCAAAATTGTAGAAGATTTGAAAATATTACAGGTATTGTATATAATATTTAAAAAAAATAATAATCTTTTAATTGTTGACTATTTCTCATAACAACTCTTCAGGAATTAAAAATTTTAATTGACTATGATGAAAATGGTTATCTATTACAAATCTTTACTAAGAATATGCAAGATCGACCGACTCTCTTTATAGAAGTTATCCAAAGACATAATCATAATGTAAGTCTAAGAGTAATCTTTTTAATAATATTAATTTTGAATTTTTAAATTTATATAACACGTTATATAAGTAGCAGAAATGATATTTATTATGTCACAGGGGTTCGGTGCTGGAAATTTCCAAGCTCTGTTTGAAGCAATCGAACTTGAACAAGCTAAGCGTGGCAATCTGTAATATATATTGTGGAAAATGTTATTGCATCGATAAATAACAATAAGATTATTATAATATAATATTTTAAGTGTTATTACATAATATATTTTACAATAGATCATTTATATTATTTTGTACAAGTGCAAGCATGTATGCATGTATTGTACATCTTTCTTTCCATATATTACATATTCATAAATTCCTGTTAACCAATTACTATGTCGTTAATCATAATATGCAATTGTAAATAAAATTGAAATAAAAAAAGTAATATATAATCAAGCAATCGGTCCTATATGTTAATCTATTAATTTCATTAATATATGTATATGTAATTTATAAAAGTAGAAAGCATTAGAAAAAGAAATATATTTTTTGTATAATTTTAATGACATATACAATGTATTATATCACTATTGCGTTAAGTGTCCTATTAAGAAACATTTCTTTTGTTAATAATAGCATAATATTATCAGTAATATTAGACAACGAAAATAAAAGGAAATTGAAGAAAACAACAATTATTAAACTGTATTTATTCTTAAACGTCGTTTTTTTTTTCTTATGGCCAGGATGTAAGCAGATAATTTTCATATAAAAACTGGGATATTTAGATAAAGTAGAATAATATGCAATGACAAAAAAGATTAATATGAAAAGAACCTAGCTCACTTATTTCAACATGTGAATAGTCCATGGTTCAATGAATTGTCTGTAGATAGTTCTAAAATGCCAACAGACATTTTCTTCATGGACTATCGTGAATGCCAAGGCGGAAAATATCGTGCTGACAAAAGAAAGAATTTCCCAGTGGTTTCAGCACAAAAATTTGTGAAAAGGGATGTGGTGGATCTTCATCGGCCTAAAAAAAATATTAATATGCGTATTGTCAATAAATGTGGATTGTCAATAATTGTGGAATTCCTGACGAATTATCGAATTTTAGTTTTTATAGTTACTTTTAATACGTATCTTGTAGAAGAAACAAAATGTAAAGATTAAAACATAAAATTTGATATCATCTCTATACAAAACTAACAAGATGGTAAAAATAAAATTTGAGATTTTTTTTTGTTTTTCTTTTTACAAAATATATTAAAAAAAAAAAAAAAAAAAAAGAAAAAAAAAGAAAAAAACAATTATATTTTAATGAAATTACAATCAAAAAATATATATATATTTTTAAAAATCGCCAATTATATATTACAACATTTTGTATTATGAATATATTACATTCCTTTTATAAAACGGGTAATACAAAATATAAAATGGTAATTTAGTGAATACATAATACAAATAATAAACACAACATATATCAACCAAACTTTTTGATAAAAGGACAAAAAATTGTAAGTTGCATTATAAAATTATATTTCGTCTTTATATTGTGTAATTCAAATTAGTTCAGTAATTTAATTCATATATTACATACAAAATATATATTAGTATTTTATTTGTTAATGAATACAGTGGAATTACTTTCTCTCTTTCAGTTGCTTTCTTATTTGGATATAACATATAAGATATCATAATAAATGATAATTTTACATCTATTAAGCGATGTATATATATATAAACATATATATATATATATATATATATACGCACAGATACAGATTAACTTATAAGACTGCTATTTATAGTGCAAAAATATACTACGATAAAGTGCTACATCAGAGCACAAAATTTGTTGGTCAGTACTAATTAAAATTGGTACTGTTACCAAGTGATCAACCATTTCTCTATCTACTTTATATTTAAGCATTTTATCGGTACATTATAGTCAATTATAGGATTAATAAATATAATGTGGGAAATATTATATATATGAGGTGGTGTAGCCATGCACTCCTTCTAATATTGGAATAAGCAGATGTATTCGCATAAAGCAATGGCAAAGAATAGGTAACATTAAGATAGGCTTGCCTTTACCAAAGTATGGAGAGATCAGTGGATGATTGGTACCTGTTGCCTAAACCGTGTCATGCAATGCAAGTCTGAAGATGTCGTGCTGCACGTAAAAGCTGATGCCAATTGGCTTCAGGACAAACGTCTGGATGTAGGCGTGGGGCTGATCCTCATCAGTCTACCCAATCATCAATAATCACTCACTGAGTTTTCTTATATCATCTTCTTTGCAGATGTAGGTATATAGAGAGATAGTTGCTGGATACTAGTCATAGCTCAATGTCTACCTTCACACGGCAGCACAAAAAATGTCAAACGATACAGTATATACATATAATGTTTCCAATCCGTAATAAACAATCACTTAGACAGAGAATTCCAAATGCTAACGGAATTTTCAAATTATAATAACATTAATTAAGAATTACTTTCCTACAAGATTTCCTTTCAAGTTTTTCATAGTTTTCAATCAACCATTTCATCGCTTTCATAGAATATATATTGCAACTATATTTTGTTAATATTATACATTAAATTACTGAACCAATTAGAATAAAAGAGATAGGAAACAACATTCTTTTAAATACTTTTTACTTTTTCAATGCTCCCAATGTAAAATGTTGAAAGTATAGTTTGTAATAAATATACCTAAATCACATGCATATTAAATTAGATATGGGCATGGATAGAACAGATATCGTAGCTACCTGGCATATCACAAATAAATAAAAAATAAAATTAGAAAATACATAATATAACCCATGCCCAAATCTTGGCTAGATAATTATCTATATTAACATTTATTATAGAAATAATATTAATGCGTATAATTTTATTACTATTATATAACAAATCCTTATTAAAATTAAATAGAATCACTTTCTATAGGTAAAAGCATTTTAATAACTAAAATTATAATATAGAAAAAAAAACCTTATTGCAAATTGCTTACCTGCAGCCTCCCCAAAACATTTATGAGTACACCACCATCAAACATAGGCTGCGAATCAATCGCTGTTATTATCCGATTGATTTTTTGAAATGTCAGACTCTAGAAAAATAAAATATGAAATTTATGAAAATTGGAGATTAATAATTTGATATGACTTTGATGTTAAAGTTATTGAAAATTCAATTTTTCAAAATTGATCTTATATATTACAGAATTTTCTTATATATTACAGAATATACATATATATATATACACATACATGCATACATGAATACATACATATTACATATACATACACAAATAAATAACACTTTTTTTATATAATATTGCATATTATTGCAAAAATGTAATACTCACAGTCAATTTCTCCATAATTTTAATGGCACCTTGAATTTGGAAACCTTCAAATGTCATGAAAGACGTCTCGGTCTAAAAGTTTTCATATTAAGTCTTACATTACCATTACATTTTAAATAATAAATATCAAAATGGAAGACAAAAAAATAATTTAACTTACATTATACATGTTTATCAAATTTGGTCTTTGAGCTGGATCATCGAACAGCGCATAGTACTGCTGTACAAATCCTTTTCCGATTGCTTCGTAAGACGGGTTCAACTCCATTACGATAAATCAATTGTCTTTGTAAGACCACTAGAAAATATTAGCAAAGTAAACCGTTTGTTAGTTCAATCGCACAGCGTGTATAGTATCTTTTAAAAATGTTATACTAATGATAACGTTAAATTTTCGGACATCCCTCATGCCAGTTATAAGCGAGCAGGAAGCAAGGAAGATGGAATTCGAGTGTTAAAAGATCGAACTAAAAGAAAATTGGATAAACCGGAAGGAACGTACATGGGTCTTTCGCGCGTCTGCCCTCTAGCGGGATTAACAGAGAATTAAAACTATTTCGAGTACACATCTATTCTTTCCTTTACATTACAAATACATTTTTTAATACGATACAGTCTCATTATCAATATTTATATTAAGGAAATAAATAAATAATTCATATATATATATATTTATAAAATTTCATGTATAATTAATTCGATAGATATATAAAAATAAGGTTAGTTTTGTTATGAGCCACTTTTAGCTCACTTTATTATAAACATAAAATCAATTGATGAGCATATTTAAAAGCTAATCATGTCAAGTGTATACATATTTATGTGTGTATATACATATATATATACATATATATATACATATATATACATATATATATATATATGATGTATATAAACGCTGATATATATAACGTCTATAAACGCTAAATAGCTTATCGCTATCGTTTATCAAAACATGATATTTTGATTGTTGTAAATAGTACCTATCGTCTTATAAGATAGCAAGTGACTTTGCTTTGTTATTTATCAAAAACATATGAAAATTGAAGATTTTTAAAGGATAATATCGAAATTATGATTATTATTGTATATGTAATTCTAATAAATTTTAAAAGGAATTTTAATAAAATAAATATATATGAGAATATATATATACACAATACACAAACACACACATATAATTTTGTAAGTATGAAAACGTCATAAGTTAGATCGCTCGTCAATAGCGCCTCATCGAGCGTACCGATCCTAATCCTTTATTCGTTCTTCAGTCGACGATACATCGTCTCGAGATGTGCACGTGTTTTAATCGTTGTTCTTCTTTTTCTTTATTCAAAAGTTTACTTCTCTTCGGAGTGTTTGAATAACGTTTGAATATTTATTTTTATTACACTAATATACACGATGATAACTTTACGTACGATTGTAGTTGTCGTCATTATCGTCTAATTGAAAATATAAAAATAAAAAAAAATAAATAAATAAAACAATATTTTATAGTTTTATCGAGCAAATTAAACGATAAAAGAGAAGAGGTACGTCGTCGTTGTTTTACGTCGCCTTTCTATTGCTATCACTATCATTGTTCGTTGTTGTTATCGATCATTGTTCATCATCATCATCATCATCATCATTGTCTTTTAACGTATTATTCGATATCCTTTGAAATTATATGTCAAATTTTTTGTGCGTTATTATATTGAAAGTACACACAACGCGCGTTGGTATTGGATTAAGAAAGAACGAACATGAAATTGGCGCCACACCATATTTGTAATATGTAACATGTAAACTGTATTGTTTCGCACGAAGTAATTGTTACGTCTTATTGCACGATTTTACGATTTTTTTTTTTTTTTTTTTTATAACAATTCATATTTTTTGTAGTTATTCCTTTATTCATTATCTTTCGCACATGATGTAATCTTAATAATCTTAGTAATCTTATTAAACACTAATGTATATATATATATACATATATCGTTTGTATCACTTTGTGATATTATCAGTTATATTTTATCAAGAGATTTTATCAGGCTATGTAAAAATTTTTTTGATAACCGAATAGAGAGAGATAAATCGTTGAAAAGTTTAATTTTATATGTCGATTACATTTCGTTATCCTTTTACGATGTCCACACAAAATAACGTAGAAGCGTATCGTAAATGTTTTTTTGGGGAAAAGTTATTCAATTGATTAAAACAACTTTATTTACTTAACCTTTTTTTTTTTTAACCGGTAACTGGTATATAATAAATAATTTTGTTACGTAGCAGTGTTGTGGACTTTACGAAGAAATGTGTTCGGAACATGGAAAATAATTAAAAGATAAATAAATTCTAAAAAAAAATCAATTAAAAATAAGCAATAATTAAAGAGACCGGAGAAAAAAAAACAATTGTCGCGGTTTCTGGCAGACTCTTCCCTCCCCTCTGAATTTATCAGTTACGAGTTTATTTAAAATTTGTTACAAATGTGATTTATTTATTTTTGTTTATTTTTTTTTCTTCTGTGAAATTGAATCTTATCAAATTTATAATTTTAAATTGTACATATGAGAAACGTGTCATCTCTCTTTCTTTCTCTCTCTCTCTCTCTCTCTCTCTCTCTCTCTCTCTCTCTCTCTCTCTCTCTCTCTCTCTCTCGTAGTTTTGAAATGTAGTGGGAGAGACAGGACGAGAATATGATAACGACCGCACTCTGACCATACCTTATCCTGTCACCGAGAGGATGTGACATCGACGCTAACGTCGATTATATATATATACATACTATATATAGTGCATTTCTAAAATTCATATATAGTAATTATGAAATTATGTTCAAAGTATTCCATCTCTTATGATTCGAGGTAATATTTTCATGTCTTCTATCATAAAAGAGAATGCTTCCATCATCATTTTGTATTATATATATATATATATTTATTTATTTATTTATATATTTATATTTATATAAATATGTATATATATATATATATATACATATGTATGTATATGCATATATGTATATACCTTTCATCAGAAATTAAAAAAGATAAAGACGCGGTCAATTTGAAAATTTTCTCTTTTAGAGCTTTCTTATTTTATAGTCATACGTTTTTAACTGTTACGCGGGCGATATAATAGAAATGAAAAGGCTAACAACTTCAATGTTCATTGATATGCGATACGACGAGCAGGAAACAAGCAGCCGGCTTGGTATATAGCCTTGGTGCACTCTTTGGTTAGACTCTACCGGATGCGTCTGTTTTCGGCATAAAAGATGGCGGCGATATCCTCTCTTATGCGTAGATTTTTTTTATTTATTAAAAAATTAAACTTTATTATTATTTTTTTAATAATAACAATTTCGAAGAAAAACGTACAAAATTTCTTTTCGCTCTCTCTCTCTCTCTCTCTCTCTCTCTCTTTATCTCACTCTCATTCATATACTAAAATCATTTGTATATAAAATTCATATTTAATTTACTGTATACATTAAAAATAATATTTTTTTTTCTATGAAAATTTTACAATTGAATTTGTCGTAGAAAAAAAACAAACGGAAATATGTCACGTCGGAATAAACCAATAAAAATTACTGCTGTGGGAGATGGAATGGTTGGAAAGACATGTATGCTTATTACGTATACAACGAAAAAGTTTCCAACAGAATATGTGCCTACCGTGTAAGTAATACACGCAATAATGTACAATTATTATTATTCGATTATTTCAAAATTGGCGCGTAAGAGAAGTGTGATCAGTGTAAGCGCGGTTTTTATGAGAATTTCAAAAGATATGTTTTCAATACGTTTATATTTAATTACAATACTGCTTTTTGGTATGTTTTCTTCTTTTTTTTTTTTTTTGTAAATTATTCTATTTTTATTTTAATATTATTTTTTGTTTAGCTTCGACAATTATGCAGATATTATTCGTTTAGATAGTCAAGAATTTGATATAACGCTTTGGGATACAGCTGGTCAAGAAGATTACGAACGTCTTCGACCATTGTCGTATCCGAATGTAAGTTATTATTCTCGAATAAATTATATTAATAAATTTAATTCATTCTAATTATAATTAATAATGAATTTTGGAAAAAGGAAACTTAATTAATGAGAAAATATATTTCATTGCAGACCGATTGTTTTTTACTTTGTTTCTCGATCAGTGCTCGTAGTTCTTATGAAAATGTCGCGAGTAAATGGTATCCAGAGATAAAACATCATTGCCCTCATGTGCCGATAATTCTTGTCGGTAAGTTTAACCATACATTTTTATTTTGTTAAATTTAAAAAAATTTATTTTTATCATATTATAATCTCGTTTGTTTTTTTTTTCGGTATACCGTTAGGTACTAAAAGCGATCTCAGAAATCAAGACAATTTAGATATAATAACTCCTCAGGAATGTAAAAAAATGAAAAATAAAATCAAAGCTTCGAAATACGTCGAATGTTCGGCTGTAAAGCAGGAAGGCTTGGAAAACGTCTTCATAGAGGCTATTAGAGCGGTTTTGAAAAAACCGCCATCTAGGAAACTCTGTTATATATTTTAATAAAAAAAAAAAAAAAAAATTATATATATTTATATTTATATTTAGATTTATAATTCGATGATCCACAAGTAAACTAATATGCATTCTACCAATACCAATCGCGTACCACGTAGAATACTCGATTACGTATATTTGTCAATGAAGATTTTGTCAAGGAAAAAATTTTTTAATTATCATTATTGAGATTAACTAACGAAAAATAAAAATGTTCGTTTGTTAATCTCGACCATTATCTTTTTTTTTGGTTCTTATTTCTTTTATTAGAAATTATATCTCGAGTTACAATATCCTTTATTATTTTAAATGTTCTATTATGATGATCTAATGATTTAAATATTTCTTTTTCCTGACTATAAAATAGCTCTACTAAACGCTCATTATGTGTAAGCGTTGAGATAGATGTTTTGTATATTTATATGTATATAAGGTAGTTCGACAAAAATTGTTTTATTCTCATATAAATTCTCCTCTAATTTATTTAATAAATTCATCGTAGATTATTAAACATTGTTTTTTCTTTTTTTTTTTTTTTTTTTTTTTTTTTTATATAAATTTTTGTAAATCTTTTCCATAATATTCTTACATGTCTCTTATATATAACAAAAGAAATATAATAAAAAAAAAAAAAGAAATAATAAAATTATAACTACATATATAATTTGTGTAATTTTATCGATTCACATGAATTATTATTTACTTATGAATGAACTGTGACTGTATTTATATTTATTTATAATACATAGTTATAAATGAATGAATGAATGATGATAATTATAATGATAAGATACTTTATTCATCGTCATTTTTTCACTTTCTTTTTTTACAAATTTTATGCTTTCATATATAAATAGTAATTTAATATAATATCTTTGTTCATATTATATTATATTGTTGGTTGCAAATGTCTCATCAATGTTACCATGTTTGTTTCTCCTCCTTTTACTAAAAATTATATATATATCTATTGAAATATTAAAAAAGAGAAGTAATCAATAAAAAAAAAAAGTAACCAATTATAAAGATAAATCTTTATAAATATATTTTATATGTATTTTGGATCTGATCATGAACAAAGATAAATACAGCTTAGAATAATGCTGACTATTTTTATTTCACCGTCCAAAATTACCATCCGAGAGAGGTGTTACTTTTTGTTGAATTATCTTACCATAACCTCCTCTTCCGGTATCAAAATCAGATCTATACTCGTCTCTTACCTAGAATACAATTAATCAGTTTAATAATTCATATTACATTAGATTTGATATACCAATAAAAAAAAAATATTACTTGTCCTCCTGTCTTTCCACGTCCATATTGTCTACCTTCTATAAATCCAGCATCCCAGTCTGTTCGAATAATTCTATCGTCAAGACGTGTACCATTAATATATCGCATACAATTTTCTGCGTCTGATCTTTGATAATATTCGACGAAACAAAAACCACATGGAGTTTTTTTATATTTATCTAATCCCATAATAATACGTCTGATATCTCCACATTTGGAAAACAATTCATATATTTGTTCTTCTGTAGTATAAAAAGAGAGGTTACCAACATATAAGGTAGAAGAATTTCTAAGAAGTCTATCTTGCTCTGCTCTAGATCCCTACAATTTAATTAAAATCTCTGTATAATTTCCTGATATGGATAAATAATATCACGAAAAGAGAGGTTAACTTTCAAATACGAACCTTAAAATGTTGATCTCTGTACGAACTTAATTCAATGGAAGGTGAAGTAGATGCATTTAATTTCACTACAGCCATTATATTTACCATAAAGTTCAGTATATTATTGCAGTAAATTTTTGAAACACATTCACAAATTATTCAACAATCTCTTCAGAGAACGCAGAAGCGTCAAATTAGAAGTGTCAAATTAGTGATACCACCTTTCAGAATTACAAAATGAAAATCTACGACAATTGATACCAATATAAAAGACAATTTATATCGGCTATCGAATTTGAATACAAATAGTTTCCCGTTTTTACAAATTATTTTTTTCGAATTTTCTAATTAATTAATTTTTAGTATTATAAACCTCAATAATATTAAATAAAGGTTAGATTGTACGCATATATATGTGTCTGTATGTGCCTATGTATGTATGTACTGCATCATTGTAAAAAATTTCTTAAATCTGAAAATTATCTACATATATAAATAAACTTATATTATTGCAATTAATACATTTTCCACATATTCAAATTTTTAAATGAAAATTCATTTAACTTACCTATATTTGAATTATATGCGCACACTTGATTTGTAAGTTTGAGTCTCCTTTTATAATAGTGTATTTATTTACAATTTGTAATATAAGACTTAATTATTAATTATTCTTATTATTATTATATACATATATGTGTGTATGTATATGTATATATATATATATATATATATATATATATATATATGTATATATATATTATGTGTTTATTTCTATAGGAAAATCATTTATTTAGAAAATTTTCATTTTGTTCTATTCAAAATATTAGTTACCTCAACATGATGCATGCAATCAACATAAACACACAAAAATTATACAATGAAATGCTTACATAATTATAGAAATTACTGAAAAGATCAAATTGATACAAATAAAAAATATTTTACCTAAAGAAAAAATATAAAATAAACTCCAACTTTTTTTTTCATTTTATATTTATCGATCAGTAGGTTGTCTGTGTTTTCATACACATACATACCTATTTTATTATTACATATCAAATGTAGATTGATATTTCCTATTTTGTATAATTCAAAATTTTATTTCTATCCATATGGAAGGTGTTAAAAAAAGATCAATGCAATAAAGTGTGATTAAATTTGTGAAAGTAAAAATAAAGTAGATAACAGTAATTAATATTTAATTTTGAAATCTGTCCATTTTACATAATAATAAACAAACGTCATAGATCATATTATAGTACATAAATTTTCATTGCAGATAAAAAATCAGACTTTCTATAGGCTTGCGGCCTATAAAATGGAGTTACATTTATGTTGTGTTCATGTGTCGGACTTGAATCTAATCACAGTTTATTTTGATATACAAGATAACAAAAAATTATCAGTTACAATACTGTAACAGGGTCATTTAAAGAGAGAACAAAGTTATAATATGTCTTACACATATAATTTGATCTCACAACTGTTTACCAAAAGATTTTTTTTCCAAAGTACCACACAATTAATATATAGTACTTTCTATGAAATAGAATTCTTATAAGATTTTATTATACCGTTGACCGTATATAAATCCCAACCTTTGTTCCATTCTATTTTATATGGAATAATTGTTTTCTCACAGACATAATTTTGTTACACCATAAACAGACATTCCTCCTTTAAGGAACAATCATAATTCAATAAGATCCAAAGTAACGTTATATCACTGATATATCCCACTTTTAATTTTATATGCTTATATAATATATCAACAGAGGAGAGCAACTGATATTATTTCCATGCACTCTTTACGAATATATTCGTTAAACATCTCGCCAAATTTTCACATGTCATGTTTTACAGGCATTTAAACAGATTCAATGCATACACATAATTCACCATATACATTGTTTTCTGAATAATACATAAAGTAAAGGATAAGGTACCTCCACGTTATTCAAATTTTCTAAAATTTCAGAAATATTAAGAAATGCGATTAATGTTCATCAAATATTTTTTTTCTTTATATTTTCCATATATATATTAGTAAACCTTGTGATTGATAAATTTATGAAAGCTTACCCCCTTATGATTGTGTGTGTGTATATATATATATATATCTATCGTATATATCGATATATATATGTATGTTATATGTGTGTATGTATATATATATGTATATATGTATATATATATATATATCGAAGAAGCCATTCCTAAGCTGTTTATAAAAAAAATGACTTCTTTTCACTTGTAAATCTAATTCCATGAAAATAAACTTGTATCTCATTTTTGCACTTTGCTTATCAACTATATGTGTACTACTACATAGATATAATGAAAACAGCCGCAAAGTTTTTTTTAAAGTAAAAGTAACAATTTATTTTTTTTTCTCTGTAGATAATACGAAATAATTCATCATATTTTTATGTTTATATTTTGCCTTATTAAATATTACAGATAATATTCCAAACACTTATTTAACATACTTTATCGAAGTAGATGCTTTTTTAACTGAACAGTGCAGTTCACAAATTATACATTAATTAATCTCAAAAGAGAGAAAGAGAGAGAGTGAGAGAGAGAGAGAGAGAGAGAGAGAGAGAGAGAGAGAGAGAGAGAGAAAGAGAGAAAGACAGAAAGAAAGAAAGAAAAAAGAAAGAAAAAGAGAGAAAGAAAAGAGAGAGAGAGAGAGAGAGAGAGAGAGAGAGAGAGAGAGAGAGAGAAATCACGATCGAAGTACTCTCTTCCAACTTATCGCAGTTTTTAGTAATAATAAGCGTTTATGGATTCATCAATGACAAGGTTTATATAATACCTATACGCGTACACCACCAATATTTATTGCAATTGTTGTTGTTTTGGAACCCGAATGACTATAGAGCTACTTACAAATGTGTCTCATCAGAATACAATTGTTGTTAAGTTATGGAGCTCTCTGTCTAAAGCAAAAATTTTTTAAAGCACCAACATACAAACTCAGATATAATTCTTATATTAATTTACTTTATAGCGCAGGCAATTAATGTGTTTTTTTTGTTTTTGTATATTAAATATTGTACCTAATCATTTAAAATATAAAAAAAAGGCAGCATTGTAAACTTAAGATACAGTTTCATTCTCATTGATAATTCTTCATTATTTAGGAGATTGGTTTTTTTTTGTTCCAGCATCCGTTACTTCAATTTCTGTACGCATATCAGTAACAAATATATCATATGCGCTCTTTACTATATAATGTATAGGTACATATAATCATATAACATCTAAAGCCAAGCTCCTGTAATATACACAACACTTGAGGCACTTAAATGTGTGCTCAAAGACCATTTTCTGATATTTCTTATATTACTTGCTTATAAGCATTATTCTACGTGGTATGTTATCTCTCGTAACAGTGTCATCAAAAAGGAAAGTCAGTGCCGTAATCAGGTATTCCAATATTTTATAACAGTTGTTTCTTTTGATCAATAGAAACAGAATAATATATTCCAGAATATTGATAACGATTAACTTCAGATTAATCTGTGTCTGATTATAATTGGAATAAATCACTTAAAGCTTCTCTAGTAAAGACTAGAAAGTATTTGGAACACCATGGAATGTTATATTTTCAAAATTTGTTTCATAATTTATATTTTAACGTAAATATATATTGTGTCAAATACATGTCTCAGCAGAGAAAATGTTTTGATTTTATCTTATAAATTTCTACCTCCTTAATGTTTTAGAGACTATCATTTTATTTAATGATTTTGTACCATTACATATAAGTATTCACAGAAAATGTGAAAACATTACTCTCTCGCTAATCTTGAAATAAAAACGAACTTCTGAAATGGAAAATATAACACACCAACGTATACAATCTTCATTCTAATGTGGATGGTTCTCTCAAACAATGTTATCTAAATAGCTTAATATTATAATCTAACTCAAAATACTGCACGTATTAACGACTGCAAGTTTAATTTTATTTACATCTAGCAATATCAAAACAAGTGCTCCCACACATACACATTATATATATTTGCCCATGTTATAAATTTGATTTATCATTAAACAAAATCATTAATTTCAGCTAAACTTCCAAAAGCACTCCAGAGTTTTTCTATGCAAGATGCTACATAATACAATTAAATTTTTTTTATTTTTCTTACTTTATATATACCTTGTTTAATAATTTATTTAATCGATAATTTTTTTTTTCTTTTTTTTTTTTTTTTTTTTTTTTTTTGAAATTCTAGAGTACTTATTCTTCGATAATGTTTTTATTTTTATTTTTAATTTTTTTTCTTGTTCTTCATATATTAAATATTTACATGTTTAATCATAGCTGCAGATAAATAAGCGAATATTAGCTAAAAGCAGAATAACTATACAAACAGATGAATGAAGTAGATTTGAGTAAAAAGAATACGAACTGAAAAATTGTCTATTATTGTGTGTGGCTGTTTATCTCTTTATATACATAATCAATATTCTGGAAAATATATTTCGCTCAATTATGTACACATACAATTAACTAAGATTAAGAAACCTATATCAAAGGTTCAGTCTGTTGCTTGCGTTATATGAAAAACATTATATTTTTGCCAAGATATGGTTGCTAATTGAGAGAGAGTGAGAAAGAGAAATAAAGAGAGAGAGAGAGAGAGGCAGAGAGGAAGAGAAAGAGAAATAAAAAAAGAGGGGAGAGAGAGAGAGAAGAAGAAAGAAAAAAAAAGGTCAGTATCTATTAAAAAGTATGCATAGCAAGTTTTTTGGCACTAAGACAATATTTCCCAGTTACGGCCCTGTATTGTGAAAGTGTGTAGGCAATTCGGGGAATAGGGAGGGGGCAAAAGTTAGGAGAGAAAGGAATTAAAAGATTAATACATTAGCTTAATATTTTTACAAGCTAACAAATGTGTACCTCCAAAATTACAGAACCAAAACAATAACAATATTCTTCTATGCAACATGTTGTTCTGCCTGTAAACGTAACTCTTAAATGTAGGGTAATCGCTGTCTCTCGAAATAATTTGTTTATGATCCATAGTTAATCAATACACATTCATTGTAGGCAAAGTCACTGTACAATGTAAAAAGTTTTCTTGTTTTCCACCACATCCACTTTAGGATGAAAGCAGTAGCGCATTCAATCCACTCAACCCAAATTAATGGTAATATAGCTAAATATTGAAATTCATTGTAGCAGTATCTGTAAATATACTAATGTTATGTTGTTTTTAATTTTTTCATGCATTATATACATCTTGTGTTAAATCTAAATAAAAAATATCTACAAAAAAGTAATAATAAAAAAAAAAAAAAAAAAAAAAAAAAAAAAAAAAATAAATAAAAACAAAAATATTACTCACTTAATAGTTTAGATGTTTCCATCTTTTTCATCTGTTTTATGTTTTGTACAAGGTAAGTCACGACAATGTTGTGCTACTTGAGCATAGCTTGGCTTTGTAACATCCTATGGTAAAAAAGAAAGAAAAAAAAAAAAAAAAAAAAAAAAAAAAAGAAAAAAAATTACACAATAATGAAATTAAAAAATTACGTTTTGCTGTTTATATATATATATATATAAAATACTTTTTATAAAAAACATAGATATTTTAAATTATTACCATTTATATATAGAAATTTAATTTAGATGCATACAGAAAGAGAGAGTGTGGCTTTTAAGATTAAAAATAATAATGGTAAAAGCAAATTTATGGATAATGAGAAGAATGCTACTATTTAACATACAAAAACATACTTACTAAAGGAAAGGCAGATGTAACTCCAGTATGTAACTGAGAATTCTGTGAGGCAGTAGGGATGTTACAAGCGCACCTGGTCACTGGATCAGACTCTTCTGCTGCATTTGTGTTTGTAGTTATGGCCTCATCCACACCATTCATCATGTTCAAGTCATCAGTCTTTATAGATCTGTCAGCGGTGCATTTCAGTAAGAAAGAACTATACCTGAGCATGCATAAGTACAATATATATACATAGATATTGTTACAATAAATACGAAGAGAGAATAGTAATCAAACACAAATTAAAAAATCATGCACAAAAGTGTTATTAGTATATACTACTTATAAAAGGGAACAGGTCTGTGCAAAATTTGCAACACATTATTAGCGAACCAATATACGTACATTTATTTACCTTCACTGACAATGAAATTCTATAGTTATTTATTTTTTTTCATATTCATGTGTGTAAAAAAAATGATATAACATATTATATTAAAAACTATGATCGCTTTTAAAATGCTTCTAGAATTAGCTTGTAGCTGAATAATTAACAACATTATAATGATGTTAATAATACTAATATTAAACATTTGCACTAGGACCAGCACTAGTGTAAATAATTAATAATAATGATAATATTCCTTTCACATTATCATCATTATTATTATTATTTTTATAATTATCAACATCATCATTATCATCATCGTTAAATAATAATAATAATAATAATAATAATAATAATAATAATAATAATAATAATAATAATAAAATAAAAAAAATAATAATAGTAATAATAATATTATTAATACCGGCACCAGCGGCAGTGACAGTGACAGTGGTGATGTTGATAGTAATTGTGGTGGTAATAGTAAATAAAAGAGAAAAATTGAACAAATAGAACATATAACTTGACTTTTCGTTTGTTTGTCAAAGTAAATAAAACAATTAAAAATATATAGAAATATTTGAAATGTGTGAATTTATAATAAACTAAATCGAAAGAGTTTGAAAGATAAAAAAAAAATTAATATAAAGTTGCCTTACTGAATTGAATAAGTGCTTCTTTCATGCAAATTGTATGTGCCTTTTATTTAATATCTTTTAAGTACTTCACACACTTTTACAAAAGATATATACTCATTGTATAAGAACTTAATAATTTTTACGAACATTTACAAACTACACCAATTCCTGATAATATTTAAGAACAACAATTTTACAACAACGCTGTATTTTACTGAGCTCTATAAAAATGTGTTGATTATATGCATCATATGTTTAATAGCCATGCTATTATTTTATTTAATAAAACAAAGAAAAGAAAGAAGAAAAAAGAAAAGAAAAGAAAAGAAAAGAAAAGAAAAGAAAAGAAAAGAAAAGAAAAAAAAATGCAACTGCCATGAAACATTAATAAAATTTGTGCAAACTTCTTTAAACAAAGTTACTACAAAAATGTATCTTTTAATAAAAGTAATGGCACTGCATTATCGAATGCAGTTTAGAGATTAACCCACCACAATATGTTGAAATAGAAATAAATTTAAGAATGATTCACCTGAGTCTTAATATGCTTTCTGTTTAAGATATTGTAATATATATTTAAATGTATTTAATATATAATATATAATGTTGCAATCTTAAAATTTCAGGAACCTTATAAGTAAGAAAGTAATTTTGCAATGTAATAAATTCCTATCTATAAGCAATAAGATTATGCGTTATATAATATAATCTTGAGACAATGAAATGTCTCTTGATTATCAATGTAATATAAAAAAATAAAAATGGGGAAAATAACTACATCCATATAACAACAAAAAACACTAAAGCAACCAACATATAAGGACAGTTTTGCACACTTCAATTTCGTATCGCTTATTCATGCGCTCACGCGCGCACGTCTGCCTTTATGTGAGTGTTGTGTGTGTCACGTGTGAATGCGCATGCGACGTATATCGTTACAACAGCCACCCACTGATTGCACGTTACGTGCGTGCTAAGATCGCGCCTACACACGCATGAGTGCACACATACGAAATCCATAAGATGACTCGATCAGTGGCAACAATTTACAGTTGCACACAGTGATTGAACTATAATTTTCTTTATTAAGAAAAAAGATCAAATAAAGCGTCCGTGTTAACGCGTAAACACGAATACGATCGCTTTGTTATATGCATATTATATATATTTGTATATATTCTGTATATGTGTATATATATATATACACAGAATATAGAGAATATAAGTATAATGCGTACATACACATATATATAAAAATAAAGCACACTCACTTATCGGGAGACGACGGAGGAGTGAGGGTGATGGTGCTGAGGGCGATGTCTGTGGAGTCAGTGTTGCTAGCAGAAGGATTGGAGATTGAGACTGTGGGTACAGCAGGTGTATTTGCACCTCCAGAGCCAGTGGTAGCCTCTAATAAACCAGTGTTATGTCCACCAGCGCTTGATCCAGGACTCGCCGGCCTACTGCTATTTGCCAACTGTTGATAATTAGTCGCGGAATCTTTCTCCTTTATATTTTTTAGTTTTGCTGTTCCCTTTACCACATCTGACAGTCTATTTTGTGACTGTGAACTGTCGTTATTAACAGTTTCTACAGATGTATTATGGATTTTCGTAAGGTCGGCGTCTAGGCCAGGAAGAGGGGGAAAAGCAGAAGCTTCCAAATCAAATTGTACCCCTCGATTGTATTGTGTGTTGTTATTACTGCTAACAGTGGACTCCCTGATCGACGGTAAAGCATTGTTGTTAGCCTTGGAAATAGTATCTTGATCTTTGGTCCGGCGATGTATACGATGACGTGGATATTGTACTCCAGATTCCAACGTCTGTACATCGTTTTCTTGTGGCCCTTTTGTTGAGTGATTACTGTTATATTGTATTTCCGCAGTAGACAAACCTGCATGAGAGGAATGGAACTTTGTGCCGCTCTGACAGGAAACAGAAGAGGGTTTTATCGTAGGTAAATTGGATGCAAAAGTAGGAGATGGCGTTGCCAAAGATACTGGTCCTCCGCTTATTGGAGGATGTGATGTACGACCTATAGGTACCATTCCACCTCCACTATCCATTGGACAACCTCTTTCAGGACCATTTCTTTGTTTATTTCTATATATTAAACATATAAATATATACCTATAAATATCTATTCACAAATAAATTGATATATCTATTATAACATATTTATTTATAGTGCCCTACCTGTGTCTTGGATTATATCTTGTATTATGAGGCTTAAATGTACTATGAGGGGTAATTCGATTCATTGTGAAAACACTGGACATATCGAAATAAGCAGGACTTGCTGGCCCCCAAGGCATCATTCCAGCAGGATAAAAAGGTTGATGCTAAATACAAATAAAGAAACAAGAAAAGAAAAGAAAAGAAAATATATATACATTTACTAAAGTAGCTTATAAAGTTTTATACATATATATATATATATATATATACACATACGTTTATTTATACTCCTTTATACAATAAAAGTTATTTATACTCACATAAACATGAACCTGATTAGCATAAGGTGGCATAGTAGTTTGTGGCATAGTGGTACCGTTTGTATATAGGAAGCGTTGTTGTCCAGCCGTATAACTACTCGGATCATAAACGGGTGGTGGTGGTGGAGTTCTATACCCATTTTTGATGCCACCTACTCCAGCAACAACAGGTATTGGTAACCTATTCATTGGTTTAGCTTTGATTCGAGCCATTATTGGCTTTCCCTGATTAAAAAGCGTATATAATAGTTAAATTTTTACCTACTTTATTATCACTACACAAATTTTTCTTGTCGAAATATTTAGAGGGAAAGAAAAAGAAGAAGGAGAGAGAGAGAGAGAGAGAGAGAGAGAGAGAGAGAGAGAGAGAGAGAGAGAGAGAGAGAGAGAGAGAGAGAGAGAGAGAGAGAGAGAGAGATATAGAATTACATACAGAGGTATAATTAAAAAATTTAAAATTTACCTGAAATTCTCGAACTTCTTCACGTAAAAACCTATAGGCCTTTTGAGCATCCTCATCAGATTCAAATGTTACATACCAAGAGCTATTATGAGCAAACTCACAAGAAATAAACCTTGGACATCCTTCACCAGAGAATAAATTCTAGAATCGCAGTTCACAGAGAAGCATTAAATCTAACTTTCTAAAAATCTGATATATATATGATAGGAAGGATCGATCAACAGAAAGTTATAGATTAATATCCAAAACTTATTGCGATAAATTAACATTATATTACGACTAACCTTAACTTCTTCCAATGGTGTACTATCAGGTATTTCACGCAAAATGACAATACACCGTTTATGATTAGGTCTTACTTTTTGACCTTCTTCATCCACTTGGACATTTGGAGACTCTCTTAACACTTCTGTTATAAGCTTTATATCTTTTGTTAACTTCTTCACTTGATTGAAATTAGCTACTGTCCATATGGGTACATATTGATCATTATCCATTTGCGATAATAAATATGTATCATTGGCTAAATTCTCTCTATAATTCATTACCACAATACATTAAATCATTTAATACGAGTAATGAATAATTCATATTGATACATGATTTATTTATTATTATAAATTGAAAATATTAATATTAAAAAGTAAATATGATCACAATACCTGGAAAAATAATATTCAAGCTGTGAAGAGAGCATCTGTTTGAGTTGATCCAGTGGTATGCCAGAAGCAGACAGATCTGCCATCGTGGTTGGAGGAGTTGACACATCACCTAATGTAGCAACATCTACACGATTATATCCCACTGCACCTGCAATACCTACGGCATGTTGCGACGAAGGCTCCAATAGATTAACACCTGCATCAAGGGTTAATTCATTTCCACTTTGTGCTCCATTCATGATGCTGTATTCTATATTAGATGCATTACTTTCAATCGCAACCGTAACTGGACCCAAAGTTTCAGGGGTGGTCGGATAAACCGCCCCTGGTGGGAGCTTCCCAATGTCCCCATTCATGTACACGTACCCTAAACAGAATAGAATATAGTTTAGTACTAGAGATAAACTAATAAAATTATATGACATTCTACTGAGATTAATTGTTTAATACTTACATCATATATACACTTTTTTTTTATCTATTTAATGCGGTCGAATGGTTACTTAATATGTCTGCAGTAAAAATTTTACTCGATAAAGGAAACTGCGACAAAAGATTTCAAATATCTCATAATTTATATACGAAAAGTACGTACTTTGTTGAGTTATATACGAAGTATGTATTTTGTCGGAAGAAAAAAAAAAAAAAAAAAAAAAATTATATAAAAGAAAAATAAAAAGAAGTAATAATTACATCATTAACAAAGAAAAGATTTCTAATTACAAACTCCAATAGAAATTATATTTTGGATGTGCGTGTGTGTGTGCATTTAAATAACCTTAAAAGTGAACTTACATGTGGAGATATATAAAACATCTATATAAAACATAATATTATATAAAATAATTTTGCAATATAATTATTTTTTTTTTTTAAATTAAGGTATTATATTACTTCTTATTATAGCTCTTGAATATTATTGCCACTACCATCATGTATTAAAAAGAATTGAAATATTGCAAAAAGCTAGTACACTGTTAACGTTGAAAAAAAAAATATCTCATTTGAATATTTTAAAAAATTCTATGATTAATAACATACAATTGTCACTAATATAGAAATGAGTTTAAAACAAATTGCTTAAACATCTGCTGCATCATACATTGTACTTCCACTGACCAGATAGTAGAGAGAAACGAGGAAAGGGGGGAGTGGGGGAGAGAGGAGGGGAAGAGAGAGAGAGAGAGAGAGAGAGAGAGAGAGAGATAAAGAGAGTGAGAGAGAGAGAGAGAGAGACAGAGAGAGAGAGAGAGAGACAGAGACAGAAAGTATAAGAAAATGTCAACTTCGAAAATGTTACCATTAATAAAATATTTAATTTCTAAAGTAGATTACTAACTACTAATGAATTTAATGTTACAAAAGGGATAGAATACGAATAAAGCGACATCGAAACGATTGCAAATTGCAAAGCAAAGTGGTGTGTGTGTGTGTGTGTGAGTGAGAGAGAGAGAGAGAGAGAGAAAGAGAGAGAGAGAGAGAGAAAGAGAGAGAGAGAGAGAGAGAGAGAGAGAGAGAGAGAGAGAGAGAGAGAGAGAATGTAAGGTAGAGGAGAGGTAAGCACATGCTAAAATTTCTGAACTCTTATTGAAAGTTCCTATGCTACTGTCACACGTATAGATTCGAACGTCACATTGTATCCTTTTGATATAGCTCTTCGGAAAAGTTTGCGGCATAAAAAGTAAAAATTTATAAAAGGCAAGATATGCAATATGTTGGAGACGACTGGCCAAATATAGAGTGAGATGCTGGCCGGGCGAACGAGCACGCAGCATGTACGAATCGTAATCATTCGAGTAGTACACTTTCTTATATCATAGATCAATACCGAAATCACTATTCATCGTAAAACAATTCTGAATTCCATGTGTCTTTATCACTTAATGCCTTTAGGAAGGCTCGTTTACTGCTTCGTATACTCGGGTATGTAAGTACCGTGAGCACACACAGAACACTCTGTGTGCTAAAAACGAAATCTTATTCCATGTTTTAACAAATGAAAAAGTCGTTATAGCCCGTATATCTAACCTATTATTATCTTCTATATCATTTGGATAAATGTGATTAACGCCAATTGGCAATTTAACAAAATTCTTACCGAGAGGAAGAATCAACTCAACACACAATTTCTCAAGGAAACTACAAAATGGCTGACACAGAAAGGCACATGCCGTGGCTCAGTGCATTATGGGTCGTTGGTATGTAGTTCGACGAAAGTGATATCTATCGGTTATTTCGATAAAATCCTAAAATTTCCCCGGTAAAGTTAAAGCGATTCGACTCTTTCATTTCGAACGATGATATTTCTTATATTACGTCGTCTTCTATCCACGTCTATATCATATCATAGAGGCGCGAGATACGAATTATAATTAAATGTAAAAAGTAATATTTAAACGAGACTCTATTTCGCACCATTCGATAGAAACTTTTTATCAATTAATTTTTATTTAATAATTCGTTCTTCCTTTTTCTTTTTTTTTTTTTGTTTGCCTAATCTTATAATTATTTTAAAATTTATCATTAATCAATATTATACGATTATATATTCAATGTTCGCCTATATATCTCACTTTAACACTGTGTCGCGTTCATTAATAAATGTGTGTATGTACCTACAGGATCCTATACAATTTACGTACATGTATTAATGTTTAAATGTTAAAAAATCTTAAATTTTGTATTATACAAAATGATGTGTAATTTTACATACGTATGTCATAAATGTAATAGAATTTGATAAAGAGGGGAAAAAAAATAACTAAAAGGAAAATATTCCAAGATGTATATACTTGTATGTACAAACGGACATATTATCGACTACGGGAATAGTACATATCTAGCTCACGAGATATCGTGACAAACCATGTTTAAGAATGTTACGCGTATTTGATTTTTTATCAATTTTTTATTTATTACTTCGATATAATAGTAGAGATTTTATCATCGATCTGTATTAAAATTAATGATCATCATTTAAAGGCGAATACAAATAAATAATAATAGCCTTTTCTTTCTTTTTGGTTCTTGTTTTCTTTCTTCTTTTTTTTTTTTCTTTTTCTTTTTTTTTTTTTTTTGTTGCATGAATTTATTTCTTTCCAACTTATGATGTAATTAGTCACTGTGTTATATAGCTATTCATGTAATATCAAGTACTGTATTATATGTAAAAAAAAAAAAAAACTAAAAAGTATTATTTGTGCTTTTAATAATCTTGTTAGAGAAAAATGGAAAGCTCTGCTTCTAATGATAATAGAAATGGAACACGAAGAAGTAATCGCTTAAAAATATCATCGATGATCATCAAAAATTCAACGAAATATACACATATCGTATGTACAATTTGGGTTTTTTTTTCTTTTTCTTTTTTTAGAATTGAAACAACTGAATTTAGATCTATTTCTAAGATTTACAACTTCTATGTTCAATGTTTAATTTTTAATGTTTAGGTTATTTAACCAGCTTGATTTTTCCTTCGAAATTTCCTTTTTTTTGATTGTATAGTAGCATCTAGTTTTGGTTGAGAACTTGGAATGATTTCATCTAAATCTATTAAATTTGTAATAAACTCGGTATTTGATTTTTTTATATTATTGTGTGATACCGTTTCAATTGTTGTAACATTATTTTTGTAATTGCTAGTAGAAACGATATTGTTGTTTGAATTTTTACTTAATAATCTTTCAGATTCGTGTAGAGCCACTAAACTGAAATTTTTTAATCTTTCCAAAATCGTCATTGGAATAGCACTACAAGCTAAATCATAACTTTCTTTTATTCTATTTCCATATTTAACATTATTAGAAGCCTGTAAAAAAGGAAAAGTACTAAGCTTATGAATTATAAACAACAAAATTTTATATTTATTTTACAAAGTTATTCATATATTATATACATTAGAATTTTTTATGTAAATACCTTTTCAAGAAATACATTATTTTTATTGTTGATAAGAGGTTTAATACTTTTACATTTAACCCATGAATGTTTTAGTTCTTTTTTATCAAAAAATATCACATGATATTTCACCTATAATTATGTATAAATTAATGTAATATATTCAATTTGAGCATGTATATAGATATGCATGTCTATGCATATTTATAAAAAAAATTCTATTATAATCATAAAGAAGAAATATTGCATTTATATATCTATTTATGCTTACAGGAATTATAGAGTTCTTTTTTAATTCATAATATCTAAATTTAATAGGACAATCATCCACCATAGCAGGCCACCATAAGTAAGTATTTCTTTTTGCCCACACTATACTTCCAGCATTATATTTATTTTCTATTAAATCAGATTCTATTTCTTGTGGCTTAGGTTCTTCCGGGATAACACATGAGGCTAGTTTTATATCTATAATATTAAATATTTTAACTATGCCAATAATTGTTTAACAAAGTGTAGAGTTTTATAATATTTTATTTAATAGTGACATTTTTTTTTATGCGATATATTTATTGTGAGAAATTTATTTACCAGAATTCATTTCGCAGTACCATATAACAGGTACATCTATTGGATCATGATAGTCTACAGTATACCTCCATTTTTTACATTTTTTTCGACAACATTGTATCCACATACCTACGTCTCGACGTGGTTGTAACCATTGTAACTTATCTTGCCATGTTTCATTGCCATTGTATTGAGACAATATTGGCATATTGTGATCGTTCTCACATACAATGTACTGTGATCTATCCAAATTATTTATCTTATTTTCTAAAATAATAAAATTTCTCTTTTTAAAAATTAACAAGTTTAATTATCAACGATCACACTATGCACTAAATAAAACGAATGAAACATTTAAACGTTCTTTCATTAAATACGATTATATTGTGCAATGGAATACAAATATTTACAATATATTAACTTTTCTGGATGAAGTTAAGACATTAAGTAGTTAAATATATTTTTTGTAGAAATATTGATATATCTCATTATATACGTAAATGAGTTAAATCATTTCTAATGTTAATACCTTTTCTCTCATAAAAGTTTTGATTCTTTTTACTATAATTAGTTGACTTTTTACTACATGTAGCCTTTGTCGTTGTATTATTTTTTGTACTTCTTGGTGTTTCTACTATCTCGTGTATTTCTTGTATATTATTTTCATTATTTTTATTGTACAACTGTAACTTTTTTGTTATCGATCTAGTAATTCTTGGTTCTATTAATACATTGGAATTTTGTGTTACTCCTTTTATATTAGATATTTTCTCTGTTTTTTTATTCTCTTGTTGAAATATATTGTATTTTATAGTACTACATATTTCAGAATAATTTTCGGATTCAAGAACGACACCACTATCCCTATCGTTGATCTCATAGAATCTTTCATCTTGATACATTAACTTTTTTGGCTTTAATTCGTTTCTGTTCCATTGTTTCTTTTTCTTTATTGGCGTTGTAGGTATCAATAAAGGTCTTTTTACCATTGGTGTCTGTGTACTAATTCCAATATTATTGTCTGTTAGAACAATGTAATTTTCTTGATTGTGCTGTAAAGCAAAGATAATATCTATTGTCTCATTCTATGTATTAATTGTTTTTAATAAATGATTCTAATCATCATTACATATAATATTTATATAAGAAGAACTTATTTGCAAAAGAAAAAAAATTTCCTTCTTATTAGAATAAAAAAATATGTTAACAATAGAAATTACTTACATAATTTAATATTCTATATATAAAGTGTATAATTAAAATATTATTTATATAATAACTTGGTTTTATATATATTTGATAAAAAGAGAGAAAGAGAGATACCTTTGGTAAATCAGTTTCAGTTGAAGAAATATATGATCTTGTACAGACATAGGAACATTGTTCAAGAGGGTTTTCATTGTCACAAATTTGAGAAGTTGTTACGTCATAATAATGAAAAAGATTTTTTTTACTATTTATACTGAAATTTTTCATATTTTGTTCTATTTCTTCAATAGAATTAAGATTAAGTAGAGAACTTTTAGAGAAATTCATCACATATATATATATATATTGTAGATATATAAATTGAAAAATATTGAATTAAAATGGTTTTTTTAAATTAACAATTCTTTTTCTAAATTTCAATAATTTGTGCCTCAGATATTTTAAATACTACAATAACGTTTTTATGAAAAGTCAATAATTTAATGTCGAGAAACCCGCCACATTTAATACGGGGTTCGCACGAGATTACACACGGTAACTAACGAGGACGATGTTAGCCAATAGAAATGGACTATTAATGATGAAATTTGATCGAGTTTAATCATAATATTAATACTATAATAAAAGAGGTGAGAGAGAGAGAGAGAGAGAGAGAGAGAGAGAAAAAAAATTTATTGCCTCTTCGATGAGATAATTGAAATCAAAACTCCTGACATACACATATTCTCATATGTATTGGTAAATGTATAAACGATTTAATAAATTAAACCAACACGATGACTCTTTAGATTAATTTGATCAGGTAATTTGTATTATTGATTGATATTACTTCATTGTATAATATACATAATTTTTTATTTGTTTTTTGTTTTCTTTTTTTTCTCTCTTTCTATTTATCATTTATATCGCATACAAATCTAATTAATTTTCATATGAATAATTTTGATTTAAAGAAAAAAAAAAACAAAAGAAAAAAGTCATACGATTAAAATAAAAATATTTACGCTGAAATAGTTAATATTTTAATTTGAAATTTTTTATTTTAGATTTATTTTATAAACTACATATATATATATATATATATATATATATATATATATATACATACATATATCGTGAAAAAGAAATGGTGTATTAACGGTTTTTGACGTTAACTTGCATTTTATAAGTACAAATACAAAAGCATATACATATGTGTGTGTGTGTGAGTATATGTGTTCTTTCTGTATCGATAAAATATATTATATATTTAATAATAATAATCGTATATGAAATCAAGTTGTTTCTGGACTATCATAGAATGACTATTTTGTTAGTGACGCGATCGCTCTTTTTTATGATTGAATTCGGCTCGGTTGCCGAAGGTAACCGAAGGTGACTTCGGCTTCGCGTCAGCTATCCACATAGAAAATGGAGTTTGAGCGGAGCGAGCGAAGCAGCTATTTTCTACCGTCAATGGGTGCAGAGGAAGAGTTCTGAGTCGAGTGTGCTTTCCTGTGTTCCTCTTGTGTATTATCGATCAGTCAACATTTTTATGTTTGATTCTGGGAGACATTGCGTCTGGAATTAACTGATAACAATTAAAAACTAATAAAAGGTAAGTTATTAACGTGGTACGGTTATAAAGCGGCGAAATGCCGAACGAAAACTTCGGGTATTAGTGATCATTCCGTTTACAGTGCGCACGAATTTGTTCTGCGCATGCGCGATCGCGGGAACGATAAATTTTACGTAGATACTACGAATATTTCGTTATTACACGTTCAACCTATAAATTATTATATGTTGATTCAAAAATAGTGAAATTTTTTATATTATTACGTTGTTACGTAAAATAATTCATCGAAAAGTTTTTCTACTATTTATTTCACATTTTTTTATAGGAAATATTTGTGAATAATATATATAATATGTCACTTTTATATCTCAGAATTAGGTCTGCTGTGTCTATATATAAACAACTTTCACTTTTTTACTTTTTGGAATTATTTGTCTTTATTAAAAATATATAAGTCATGTGATTCTTTTTTATGTTATCTTATGAACAACACGTTAGAATATAAATCTTAAGTTTCCTGGATTTATTGTAACTTTATTATATATATATATATATAAGCATATTGAGTAATATTGTTTTTATTATATTTTTTAATTAATGCTTTGTATTGCTCCGATTGATATTTTAATATTGATTCTTGTTTTTTATTAGAACAATGTCTGCCACTGCTCAAGATGATCGTTCCACGAAAGCCAATCAGATTAACAAGAAAGATAATGAAAAATCTCGAAAAGTCTTCAGTTCTTCACATAAAAAGCACAAGCACGAAGATAGTCGTCATTTTAAATTTGGACGGAAGCGATTACAAAGTTTTACCAATAATACTAAATTTTTTCCACCGTACAAACGTAGAAAGAAGGAGGGTATTATCATACCACCGACTAAATTTCTGTTGGGTGGTAATATATGTGATCCGTTAAATTTAAATAGTATGCAAGACGAAGAAGTGAATAGAGCTATGAATGCAGTTACTCCAAAATCCAGTCCCTTACCGACGCCTAAGCACAAAAAAGAAGCAATTGAAGTTATAATACCACCAAATATTTGTGATCCTCTTAATTTAAGCAATTGTAACGATAATGAGGAATATGAAAAACAACTTATTTCTCCAACAAAAAAAGGCTCCAAACGACGTAACAAAAAGCGAAAACGTGCTTCTTCAGGCTCTGGGAAAGATGACGCAAAGGAAGTCCAGGAAATAGAGATGAAAGATAACGATATTATAAATTCTGTAGAGTCGAATGGTAGTAGTGCCTCGGAAAGAGTTACATCTTTGTCAGAAGACATTGCTTCTGATTCTCCACCAGAAAACCAAGTTAAAGAATGTAAAGTGGAAAGTCCAAATAAGGAAAAAGTTAAATTACGTTTAAAAATATTGGACGACCTTAAAGATAAGCGATTAAGGAAGCTGGATGTGAAAGATAAAATAGTGAGTCCAGTTATTCCTCAACCTGGTGCATGGAAGCCTAGACCACAACATCGTCCTAGCCAAGATAAAAAGAAAAAACAACAACCGTTACCAAATTTTAAAGAAAAGGATGCCCGTTATCAGTATGGTAATTACAATAAATATTATGGATACCGTAATCCACATCATGTTGTGGATACAAGATTGACCGTATTTGCTCAACGTAAACACTTATTTTTGGGAAAAGACATTCTTGATATAGGCTGCAATATTGGACATATTACTTTATCAGTTGCGAGAGATTTAATGGCACGAAGCGTGACAGGTATCGATATTGATAGAATGCTTATTAAAATTGCACGCAAGAATGTTAAACATTATGTGAACTGCGTTCAGTCACCTGCAAGCAACGAGGACAATGGAGAAGGGCAAAGAGATTCAGATACGAACTTTTTTCCTATGTCTA